ATGTGATCGCCGGCGGAAAGCTTGAATGCTTCCGCAAATGAACACAATGACGAAGAGCTCGAACTGCCTCACCTTGACCAGGAAGAAGCAGCCCAAGAATATCCCTTGCATGCCAAGAAACCCTGTTCTTTTGCGCAGAGTCAAGGGCGCCCGAAAACCGACCTATTGGTGTGGATTCTCTCATCAGGCACTCACTGACAAGAACCACGCACAGATGGTGCGCTTCTAGTTTTGTACCCATCCAAGCAAGAATCTTTAAAGGCTTCAACAACATCGACTCATTTGGAAGAAGCGGAAAGAAGCAACAGGCATTGAGTGAGGTCAGAGCTTAGTAGAAGCATTTCCCTGAGGCAAAGTCATTAGAGCGCCGAAGTGTTTGATGTAGTCGACACACGCAAGATCAAGGTCAGGAAGCGGGCTACCGGTCGTGCCCTCACCCTGAAACAAGAAAAGGCCGGTAACTTTCTGAAGACCAACTCGATGGGTCCTCCGTCGCGCTCACCCATCTTCCTGGGCAACAAGCCGAATCTGTTCCTCGGGCCCATGCTTCCGGAACGTGAAAAGACAAGATTCGAGAGATCGCGTTCGTGTTCCCAGCTATTGACGGAAGCTATGCGAAGAGATGTCAAGAAGGCAGAAAGGTTTCTGCCCACTGTTGGATCATCTCATTGCCACTTGGACACGAATACACATACGACACCGAGTTGGATTCCAGACAAGTCGATCTCGAAACACTCGGACGACCAAACTTTTAGGAGCAAGGCCAGGATCTCCCATCCGGAGGAGAACAGAAAGGATACGGCTAGGGCTCCTCGCCCAAGTCCAAAGCCAGACTTTGACGGCCAGCTCCTGTTCCATCCGGAAAGATCGCAAGGTGGACCCTTGCAAGAAGGAGAAGATGGAGAAGATGACCTTCATGATCCATGCGACCGTCCTGGACAATGGATTGAAGATGGCAGTGGAACTCCATGGCCAAGGCCGCCAGCACGTTCACATGGCATGCATCGATGACGCCACAATCAATGATGAGCCAACAGCGCCCGTTCGACACGGAGAAGTTCAATCACCATCATGACGAAAACTCCGACAACAGCTACGACACCACCGGAGAAAGGACGGCGCTCACGGATGAACGCTCTACTGAGAACATCATTGCCGCCTTCGAATTTGACAGGCAATGCGTCCACAACCCAACCATCATGCTGGAAAAGTATCTTGTTCCACAAATCACTGACGCGGGCGGCAAGAAGCAGTTTGAAGTGACCAAGAACAAATTCAGGAAGATTCTGGATCAGTTCCATCGAATTCCCAGACATCTTAAGTCCGACCTCAGCGCGTGCGAGATTGATTCCCTGGCACACGTCAATCCAAATACCAACTTTCCGGTCGACAAGCACGCCTTGATCGATGCTTGCGTGAAGATCCTCGGATCTATGCTACAACCAAGTCATCCATGACAATGCCAGCGCGGAAAGGCCCACGTGGCAGCGGCCCTCCAAGCGTGAGCAGCTCATCTCCACAAATTGCGCCGGACTGAAGACCGAGACAAGGTGGCAAGTCTGGGCCACTTCGATCGCTTGGGTGTACGCCTGTTGCAAGGGTGGCGAGGCTGCCGCAGGTCTCGCATTTGCGCCTCAAAACAGCTCAGCCCGGCAGCGTCTTCCTCCAAGATTTTGCCAACCAGAACGTTCCGCCGGCTCCAAAGATCGCTTCAATAGACGCGCTTCAGGGCCAGCTAGTTCCGGCGGCTACGCTCTTGATCCACCGCCCGCTGGGCCTTTCCAGGGCGCGCGTCAAGAACAAGCCGAAAAAGAGTCCCGAACCGTGACGCAGATTTACCTCGTGTGGAGTGTGAGCCGTCGGGAAGAGCCCACGAGGTTAAACAGCTGAACTTTCTTGGAGCAGTGGACTCGGACCGAAGGCACTTTCCCAGTGAACTCTTCTGGAGGTAGTCGCGTAGCCAAGGGGTTTTCGATTACTGCCTTGCTTAAAGGAATCAGGAAGGGAGTCGGATCGAAGTCGAGCGGCTCAATGCGCTTGAACGTGGAGAAGGCGTTATGCTTGGACCGCCCAACGACCTGGGGCCGGCCGCTGCATTGCGGGCCGCGCTTAAACACGCGGGCTGCAGCTTTTTTAAATTCCCGTCGAGCGCCTCAATCATCCCTTCCACGGACTCTATCTTTGCGGCGTTCCTTCCCAATTGTTCAGGCCCGAGGGGCCACGCTCAATCCAAGCGCTCATCAGCTCCTCAAGCCTCGTGACTGCTGACCGGAGTAAGCCGAGCTCCCAAAGCCAAAGGCTTCGGGGTCGGCTCCTGCAACACGCCCTCCTTCGATGAGGGCGTCCCATATCCCTCCAACTTGCCACGTCCACCACACATGTGCTTGGTATTGTTGAATTCGGCTTCGCCTCCAACCACCGTTGAGCAGTACCAGCCTGGAAGACCGACGGTGAAGACAATGACGCACAACTGCGCACATAGATTTCATGGACTCCCGCAAGCTATCTTAAAGCACATGGCTGGGGCTTTCCTAGCTTTGTTGCTAGGACAGCGGTTTTAAACAATCTGACTTGACAATCTGAGTTGGAGGCCGCCGCCTTACCACTCCTTTGCAGGGCACAGGCCTCCAGGGAATGGCGAGCTTTACCACAGCGATGGAGCGAAGTGTTCTCTCCCACATCAAGAACGTTGACAGCTTTCAGGAGTCCAAGAAGAAGTTGTCGGGCCGAGCACAGCCGGGCCCTCCTGTGGCGGACAAGGAAGAAGCATGCGAAAGGAAGAGGCCGAGGAAAAGGCTGAGTGAGTTTCGGACCCCAGACGGGCAGGCAGGCCGGGGCTGGTCGTCTCGCCCTTGAATCTAGACGGCATGTTCTGCGCTGTGCTAAAAACCGGACACAGTCCGGCCGACTCTAATTACCCTGTGTCGCTGCCCTATTGAGGCGAACCTCTCCACGGGGCGCCCTGTCGAGGAGCTTGCAAAAAAGAAGGCAATGAACGCCATCTACTCTTGCATCTTCGGCGCCCTCAATGTGCCCAATCCGCAGTAGACGGCGGATCTTGGCCCCATTTATACGGAGTGGAGTGTGGAGCAGTCTCCAACCCTACAGCCAAACGTTGTAAAACAGCCACCAGCCGTTTAGACCTAGAAAAAACGTACCTTGTGTCAAGATCTGACATGTCCGAAACTGCTCTGAATTTTCGGCGCCCTGAAAGCATGAATGTCAGACAAACTGGTAGTCCTATCCATGCTGCTCCTCCATCAACAGTCTTACTGTGTGTGTGTACGCACTTGTGTGTGTGTATGCATTGTATGTACATGATATAGGCATGTGTGTGTACGTATGCGTGCATGTGTGTTTTGTATGTATGTTGCGCAGTGTGTGTAATGTATGTAATGTATGTAATGCGATTTATCTATTTATCTATGTAACGGTTGCGCTGTATGTATGTATGTGTGAAGATGTTATAATGTATCGTACTGCAAAACAAAATAATGGGATGTACGGCAACGTAGTGCACAAGTTTTATGTATGTGTGTGACGCATGTGTGTGTGTATGTATGTATTACGTGTGTGTCATTTGTGATCTGATCAAATGTGAGGTGTTAAGATGTGATGTGATGTGATGTGTTGCGATGCATGTGTGTATGTGTGGCATTTTTTCGGCAAACAGTTGATCAACTTGACTCATGACTCACGGCAAACCATGCATGTTGTTTGCATGTTGTTTGCATGTTGGTGCCAAATTTTGCCAAAGAAGGCTAACGAAGACAAAATCTGGCAAAACTTTGCAAAAATCGGCAAATCTTGGCAAACATTTGCAAACCTGTATTTGACCCTAGACCCCCAAACTCTCGACCCCCACTTTGGATTGAAACATCTTCGGCATCAGGGCACGGCAGGCCTAAATAGGGCAATCATGCGCATGTGCAGCGGGAGCAAAGACATGGAGATCGCGCGGGCCTTTGTTTTCACGCGTGCGGGCACACTATCCCGGCAGGTACCGCCTGCAAAGCTAAGGCGCCGTGTCTAACACACGGCAGGAACACTAAGCGGGGCGAACCTCAGGGAGGCCACAGTGAAGAGACGCGAGGCCAAGCTTGGCCCTGACTGTCACCATCTCTTAAAGCCACTCAAAATTTGAAAGTGCTATTTCCTTTGGTAGAGAATGGAGAACGTGTTGCAAGTGGTCGAAATTTTTACTACTTAGTTACTGATACATCATGTCACAAGTCCCACTGCTAAGTGTATCATAAGTTCTTCGTAAATTCTGTGAGTAGACTTATAACCATGTGAGACATGGAGTAACGCCTAGACAAGAACATGATGATGACGAAGATCAGGAGGACGAGGATGCGCCTCCTCCACTCCTCCACCTCCGGTGGGCCCGGCTTCGAAGCTCACGCCTGGCAGTGTCAACACGCTTCTCCATTTACTTGGCACTTGCGCCACAAGCTGCACTTGCTACTGCTTCGCCCTAAAACCAACCCAAATCAGCCCCAAACCCTAAAACACACTAGACCAACCCACCCTAACACGATCCTAAACCAGGCCGAAAAGATCCCCAAACACACCCTGAACCTGCCCTAACCACCAACCCTCAACCAGAGCTCAGCTCAAAAAGGAAGCTTGCAAGTGGAAGCAGGCCACAAGGTCAGAACAAAATGTGGTAAGGTGGACAAAGAGTTCTGCAAGGTTAAAACTAGCGACGCAGGAGTTGAAACAGACACCCAGGGTTTACCCAAAAAAAGACCACCGATCTCTTAGAGCTTCGCAGGGCTAAAAAACATCCTTCCCCCTTCGCCACTTGTCGTATGAGACACTTTCCTTTTGTCGTGCGCTGCCTGCATATCGCACATGATGTATTGTGACGCGCTGCCCCTGCTGTTTCATTGTGTCATGTATGCGCATGTCTTACTTGCGCAAGCCTTGAGCCATGAGCCAACGCTGGGCCTGTTCTCTGACAGAGCAAGTCAATGGCCATGAAGCTTGCTGCTGAGGAGCTCCGAATGGCCATGAGGCGGGAGTTCAGTCATATGTGTTTCGTCGTGCCACGCCTTACAAAGGACCGGGATCTTTTGTTGAGGCTCCTTCAACGTTTCGCCTTACTGGCCGGCGCAGCGACAAAGTAATCGTGTCACCAAGGGTGCCAACCATTTGTGGAGTTCGTGGCCGCTGCCCTGCTGCCTAGCAAGTTGATACGCATTCTCAGGGTCCAGAGTTTCATTTCCGGGCTTTTCAAAGACGCAACACATTTGTCGCAACGTCGTGAGAACCAGACAGGATGTTAAGCGCTGAATAGCCTGCGCCCTACATGCCTGCAAGCAATTCTGCTAGGGATTGTCCTGACATGTTTCTGGAATGACACTAGGCTGTTTGTGGAAGCCTTGAGCGCCATTGCTGAATCCACGTTTACATCTTCTGTCAACCAGAGCTTGTGATATCAGGAGCTTCGGACGATTGGAGAGATTCAGAGACATGTACCAATTTCGGCCCTTTTGAAGAGCTTCCACGCATGCAATACTCATCCCCCTAGGTTCTGAGAATGCAGATGCGCAGAGTCGCAAAGGAAACTACAACTCATTGCTCCAATGCAGCGTTTTGGATGCATCCGCAAATAGTGCATCAATATATTTGGTGACTTGGAGCATGTGGCGCAAATACCTGTAAAACAAGAAGGAAAATGCGAAACCAAAGCGCTTGTCACACACACAATCAGTGTGTTGCTTGTTGCAAACAATATATTTTGCCATTGGAAGTCAACGTGTTGTTTGTTGGCAAACAGTCACGTGCCGGCTGTGGCTAGAGGCATTACTGCGGCCGAAAAGATTCAACTGCAGTACGCCTTGGTTCCAGGCGTCCCCTCCGAACGATTGTGTTGATCTCTGACGACAAGCGTGTTAGTGTATGCCATCATGCGAGCCCCCAGCCCCATACTCAGGCACATGGTTGTTGCATTTGCAAAGCAAACGATCACCGCGTGGCCTTGTTGCTTCGTGACGCAGAGAAGCCGTGCTCTGCCTGGCGGACCTAGTAGTTTGAGCTGTCGTTGTTCCGGCGAGAGAGCTTGGCTAGAAGAGAGCTTGCGAAAACAGCCACAGGAACCGCTCAAATCCAAGGCTTTTGGCAGAATTGTGACCAAGCAGATGTGGCTGGCTTCTCAGGGAAACTTGGGCAGGAAACAACCTGAGTGAGGGCCTCCTGAAAGAACAACATGTTCCTGCGCATCTCCTTCGATCCGCTGCGCAGCTATGACTGCTTGTTCTGAGAGTACTTGCAAGAGGCGCAATCGCTGCAGTTGCATGTCCTTTCACCGGTAGATGCAATTAGTTTAATTTTTCCGCTCAGTTTCGACTGCTCCAGCCTTCGCGTCTTAAGCTGAGAGAGAGGCACACGTGCCGTTTATTCCTAAGGCTTGACAAGCGCTGGACCTGCGTCCCAGTATCTCACATACATACACACGACGTTGCGCGCCGCATGAATCAATATGCCTTTTACGCATTTCCCGAAAGTCCCATGAGATGGGTCTGGACCGAAGGTAGTCAACGCGAGCAGGCAGAGGCTGTGGAACTGTTGGGGCGACTCCGCGAATTCAACCAGACAGATCAGCAAACTGGCGGCAGATCAACCGGCGTCGTTGCGCAAGGCAAATATTGAGCAACCTGGACAAAGCTTGCGTTTCAGGATGGTGAAATAGCGTCTTACGAGTCGCCCAGACATGATGTGTCCATCACACATCCACTTTACAGCTGTTCCCTCTGTAATGAAAGTTATAATGAAAGCCTTCGCGCGCAAGCGGAGAGTCTTACCACAGCAGGCCGGCTAAATACACAGTCGGAAGCTTCATGCTTCGTTGACTCCATGGCTTTCCGTGGCACGGGTTTAGGTTTGACCAAGCGGTCTAGCCAACGGTTTTCTTTTGGGAAGCGCGAGCAGGAAAGCAACCAGTTTCGCTTGCCCGCCGTAGAGGGTCTTTGTTTCTCATTCTTTGGTGTTAGTTTCACCTGCCGCTTGCAACGCTAGTCCGCACACATTGCTAAGTAGGCGGGTTGCCCTATTGTTTTGCCGCAGGGACTCGGTAGTTTGCCGCGGTGTCGCGCAGTGCAGCTGGCTGGAGCAGAAAGATGGATGGGCGAAGCGTGACTCCAACGAGCATGAACAGCTCTGGATCAGCGGCTCCTTGTGCGTCCTTTTCCCGAAACACTTGGATCCCAGGATTGAAAAACCTTTAGCTCACTGGTAGGAGTTCACATTCAGATCCACTGAACGGTTATCCTGCACTTTTGTTGTGGCGTTTCTCCGTGTTTCGCGTTGTTTGACAATTTTACTTTTGAATGCACTCTTGTTCCCACTCAGTCCAAGCAACACATGAGCAATACAAATTTATCCAGCACGGTTGGGGTGTGTTTTTGGGAGGATGCGCGTTTGGCGCAAGCCAGCTGTTCCTGTGTGTCCCTTTTGCTTTGCGCTTGCTTTGCTACACACACCGCAGAAAGATGGAACAATTAGAAGAGGAGACTGTTAGCGCTCAGATGATCCCAGAGCAGCAAGAGCAATGCAAGCTCCACCAAGCATCAGCGTTCGACGTTTTTGGCCCTCGCTGAGCTAGAGTGGAAGCAGACCTTGCCCTTCGCCAACAACTGCGCGACTGTCGGGAAACCAGGGACAGCTTCATCAAGCTCCACCAGTTGTCTAGCCTTGTTGACCTCTCCGCAAAGCATTAAAGATGCAATGCTTGCATATCACTCTACATCTTGTCGCGCCTTCCATGGAGAACCTCCTCAATCTCTATGATCAGTCTTTGCCTCCCCCCAGCTCAAGATGGAGATGACAGATGTCAGCCGCAAGGCCTGGAAAGCTTCCAGGGCGCGCCGGACTGCGCTCCGTAAAGGGACAGTCGGCTTTTGGTTTTGACGCAGCAGCCGTGGAAACGACGCTTACTACATGTCCAAGGAGGGCCTGCGTCCCTCAGGATGCTAATGCAGCAATTCACAAAGTTTGTCCATCCTGCGACTTAAGCTTTCCACGCTCTCGCCTGAGCACCGCTGCCAAGAGCTCTTCAAGGCCTTGAAGAGAAGGAGTCCCACGTGAACACTTCCCAACTTACATGAGAACCCACAATTTTCTTCTAGAGGATTCCTACATGAACTCAAGGAATTGCCCCAACAAAGAGCCTACATGGGCACCCTGGCAGACCTGTGCATGCGCGTTCCCCAATAAAACGCAGACGATTGCACGCACTTGAAATCATGAACAAAAACTTGCCCTTTGTTGCCCATTTCTAAGATGGAGCTTAGCTGCATGTCGCAGCTACATTTTGCATCTGCCAACCCTCTTCACGCAACTTCAGGTGGCTCCAAACTTGCAAGGGCTCGGCCTTGCCCAGTCCCACCATTTTCGCTCCTTCACCGCAGAACGTCAGGGGGGAACTGTTCGCACCATCGCCGGAAGCCCTCCGCAAAAGATGCTGAGTGCGCGCGCACAAGCCCGCAAGTTTTCTTTACAGGAGACTGGGAAGTTCACCCTAGACCTGTCCCCTGTCCCCCCAATCAGGGATCAAATCCGGTGCCTCTTTTTTCGCCGCTGTGCCCAGAGATAGACGGAGCCTGCACACGCATCAGAAAGCCACATTCCGGTCACCATCGAGAGTTCTTTCGTTCAGATTGGCCATCCCTAGCAGAAGCCCCCAAACATTCTCTTGCCCAGGCAAACACTCTCCCAAGCCAAGTATATCTCCATCAAGCGCAAAAAGCTGCACGTCGACGTACGTGTCGCGCAGTCCATGTTTCAAATTCTTCGCGGAGTCCCAGCTCAAATATTTCAACACCCTTCACGTCAGATCACCCTTGCAGATGCTAGCCACCAAGTCTTCTTCCATATTCGGAGCTGCGGACATATGCTCCTTGTCGCAGAGGGCCCAAAGCACACGGGCGCGAACTTGCTTTTTCTGACGCATGGTCTCGACTCCAATTTCTCCGGCGTTGTCTCCCTCCCGAATACCTAGCCCATTTGAGAACAGTTGGCGCATGAACGCTCTTGTTTGGCGAGCCCTTGAACTTGATGCAGAGACCGACCAGTGCAATGTTGCGGACTGCTGGCTTGCTGCCGTTTTTGTACTGTGGCTTTGCGCCTCGCAAGAAACCCTGGGTGGGCTTAAATGAACCAACAGGGAACCAACGCCGTTTCCCACGTGGAGGCGCACACGCGCACACACACAGACATTTTGTTTTTGCAACTTGGGAGAATCTGTCCTGGGGCTAACGTCCATATTCCTTGGAACCACCACGTTCCGCTTGTCCGAGCGGAGAATGGAGTGCCAGAGCTACGCCCAACATCTCAAACCTCGGCAGTCAAGCTGGACGCCTATGTCTGTCCGGGTGTTTTGTTTTGTCTTGTTGCTTGCTTTGGTGTGAAGCAGAAGCACATTCTCCAATCAGCTTCCTTTCGCATTGAAGCGAACAAGAGATTCCCCGCCAGGGTGCTTTTGTTTCGAAGGTCACAGCAGGCTTTGCAAATTGCGAAGCGTGGTCGGCATAAAGGGTTTGGTTGAAGATGGAACCTTTGCCGCCTCGGAGGCGAGCTTTCACTCTGCATACATTTTTCCCGGACAGCTTCTTTCAGGCAGCTTCTTGACTGCTCAGCAGGCGTCACAGAACGCATTTGAGCGCGTTTGTGGTAAGTGGGTGGCGTGTTCTTGAGCGGCCCATTTCCAATTTTTCCCCGAAGCCTGTGCTGGAAAATGAAACAGACACATGTGGCAACATGTCGAATGGGAAGTGTTGCCCGTGAGCGGTCATTCCGGAGCTTGAAATGTGACTAGCGATATCATGCTCCATGCTGCGCTCTTCCCGGGTTCCACACAGATTAACACACACACACTGTTCCTGCCAGCATACACCCTCAGTCTTTAATGGATGTTTCAGGCAAAGAGAATATTTTTGCAATAGTCGGGTTTTTGAGCGGAGATTCGAGTGATTGCTTGACGTTACTGAGGGGAGCACGCTTTCAACTAACAGATG